GTGCACCTGGAGCCTGTGCTCCGCAACAAGAGAGGCTGCAACAGTGAGAGGCCCATGAACTGCGATGAAGAGTGGCCCCTGCTTGCCGCAACTAGGGAAAGTCCTCGCACAGAAATGAAGACCCAACACAGCAAAAATAAATAAATACATAAAAGCTGAGCTGATGTCCTTCAAAAAAAAAAAAAGAGAGTTCTAAGCCAGGAATAGAGCCTACATGTCTGTCAGGCCATGAGCCAGGAAAGAAAAAGTAGTGTTTTTATACCATCGCTATAGCTAGCCATCCATTGTTCAAGGATCTCTTTCAACTAGAAGAGGGTGGAAACCTGCCCTAACCTCTGCACTTCCTTCCCATCACACTTTCTTGTCCAGGCATCCAGTGTCTCATTCTTTAAGATCCTTGGAGCAATCCAGGTTTCTTCCGACTTCCCCTCTTCCTCTCACATCTGCCCCAGAAGGAGTGGGGCGCTGGCAGGGGCTTCCAGCACGGTTTGGAAGTGCGCTGCTGTAAGGCAACCCTGCCGGGGCTGTGCCTTCCCAGTAACCTGCTGCCACTCTCTGTGCCTGTCTGATCCTCCGTTCAGCAGTGAGAGAATTCTTCAGCCCCACTTGAATCTGAGAATCCTTTTTCTCATTCTGAGAGGCATGGAACATTGTTGCTGTTGCTCCTAGAGGTCCAGATTCGGCTTTGGGAAGGGGCTGTGTGCTTGGTCCTACGGAATATTTTTACATAGAGCAGAAGGGTAGGTCTTGGACTTATGGAGGGTACATAATTCCACATAGAGCATCTAACAGTAACACCACAGACTCTGAGTTAAAGATTCCTGACTGGAGTAATTTGTTCATCTCCGGGTCTCTGTTTTTTTGTTCTGCAAATGAATACTTCAATTAAAAGGGATGTTCAGATGCCATTATTACAAAGAAATCTTGGGTACTGCTCAGAGCTTTTTAGCTCTTTCATGTTGGAATAAAACAGCACCTGCAGCTGCTTATAAATTCAGACTGAAACGGCAGAACGCATTTCGGGACTCAGTAGAGCATAGGTTCTTCTGTCTCAGCACAGAAAGAATTCAGCAAGAGGCAGAGTGACAGGTAAAGAAAGAGTTTATTGGGCTTCCCTGGTGGCGCAGTGGTTGAGAATCTGCCTGCCAATGCAGGGGACACAGGTTCGAGCCCTGGTCTGGGAAGATCCCACATGCCATGGAGCAACTGGGCCCGTGAGCCACAATTACTGAGCCTGCGCGTCTGGAGCCTGTGCTCCGCAACAACAGAGGCCGCAATAGTGAGAGGCCTGCGCACCGCGATGAAGAGTGACCCCCACTTGCCACGACTAGAGAAAGCCCTCGCACAGAAAAAAAAACGAAGACCCAACACAGCCATAAATAAATAAATAAATAAATACATTGTGTATTAAAAAAAAAAAAAAAAAAGAAAGAAAGAGTTTATTAGTATAGGAGGCTTGTGAGGGGTACAAGAGGTACAAGCGAGAGGGCTCTGCCCCTAGCACTTAATGGGTTACATTTTTATAATCAAAGGGAAAGTGGGGAGGGGGGAGAAATCCACTTTCTTCCTCATTCTTGAGTAGACATCAAGCTTCCCTCATCACCTCCTCCTCCATGTCGGACAGGGGAATTTTCTTGTCCCTAGTGGTCAAACCAGGATGGTCATGGCGCTATTCAAATCAGCCGAAGGATGATAATGTATGCTAAAATATGTTAAGTCATCTCAGGTTTCAGTGTAATGAGGGTCTTCTACTTGGGAATGTCACCTTTCCCTTATATTTTTGTTTTTAGCATGTGCAGAGGAGCATGTCCTAGGGATCATTAACTTACCTCAACCAGCAGGATGCAGACATCATTGACTTGATGTATGTTTTTGTTGTTAGTTTCGTTGTTAAGCAAGCCTGCTTTGTTTAATTATTTTCCGATTGCTTTCTTGGGTGATCATTAACTTACAATGGTCTCCCAAAGCTCCCTGAAGTTCCCTGTCTATCTATAATCCCCTAGTGGGCTTTTTAACTAGCTATTTGATTTTCCTACTGTATCCCTATCAAGACTATACACACACAAACTAACAGTGTAAGACTAACTTTTTTTTTTAATAGGCATTTTATTTTATTTTATTTTTTTACATCTTTATTGGAGTATAATTGCTTTACAATGGTGTGTTGGTTTATGCTTTATAACATAGTGAATCAGTTATACATATACATATGTTCCCATATCTCTTCCCTCTTGCGTCTCCCTGCCTCCCTCCCTCCCCCCCTCCCTATCCCACCCCTCCAGGCGGTCACAAACCACCGAGCTGATCTCCCTGTGCTACGCGGCTGCTTCCCACTAGCTATCTACCTTACGCTTGGTAGTGTATATATGTCCATGCCTCTCTCTCGCTTTGTCACAGCTTACCCTTCCCCCTCCCCATATCCTCAGTTCCATTCTCTAGTAGGTCTGTGTCTTTATTCCTGTCTTACCCCAAGGTTCTTCATGACATTTTTTTTCTTAAATTCCATATATATGTGTTAGCATAACTTTTTAAAAATTGTGATAAAATAGGCATAATGTAAAATTTACCATCTTAACCATTTTCAAGTGTACCGTTCAGTGGCATTAAGTACCTTCACGTTGTTGTACAGCCATCACCACCATCCGTCTCCTGAGCTTTTTCATCTTCATCTTTCTGAAACTTGGTCCCCATTAAACAACTCCCCTTTAACAAAATTGAAGGATATAAGATTAACGTTAAAAAAAAAAATCAATTTTCTTTCTATATGGTAGCAAATAGAAAGACTTGTCTTTTGGTTTTATGATAATAAACTATGTATCTGATAAGGGGTAAATATCCGAAGTATAATATATAAGGAACTCCTACAATTCAGTAGCAAAAAAAAAAAAAACCACCTGATTAAAAAAAATGGGGAAAGGACTTGAATAGACATTTCTCCAAAGAAGATATACAAATGGCCAATAAGTATATGAAAAGATGCTCAACATCACTAATCATCAAGAAAAGCTTGCCTTTTTAGCACCCAGCTGATTCCAAGGCAGAGCCAGGCGGGAAACACTGCTCTGTAGTCTTGTCACACTCACTCACTGCTTACTTGCTTACAGCCTCTTCTTTGTATGCCTGACAGAGAAGGGCTCAACAAAGGTTTGTTTTGTGTTAAATAGCCAGTTGTTGGCAGGCAGAAGATGTATGGAAATGGATTGCAAGGTTGAAAGTGTGTCTCAGCATGGGGTGCTTCCCGTGAGTTGGGCTCACAATCAAAGGGCGTGTGAAGGGAAAAAAAAAGTGCTGTGAAGTTGGGAAAGGAGAAGATGTTGGTGAAACAGTTCCATTAATTCAATGTATTTTGCTTTTAGGGAAGATTCTGCTTTTGAGGGTGACAGAAAGCGAGAAACAAAGATGCCGGTAATGGAATCACCTTCGTTGTTTTGGGGCAGTCCTTCCCATGTTTTAGTTATTTGCATACCATCTTCAAACTTTACCATTGCTCTGCTCTTTGTTTCTCAGTTAAATTTATCTTAAGCTTGTTTTATTTATTTATTTATTCACTCTT